CTTGGCAAAGCACAGGGACCGCGGTTCAATCCCCCAGCACCACATGCCAGCCAGCCCCGCCCCCTGGTGGGCTGAGCTGGCCACACACACACACAATAAATAAATGTAATAAATAAAAATAAATAAATATAAAAACTGTTGACTTAAACAAAAATTACAACACTTTTCATCCAATGTATGTTTTCTATATTATTTATTTATGTGTTTATTATCTAGCCCTCTCTGCCACAAAGCCTAACAGTAGATTTAATACAACTTGGACACAATATCTATTTTACCACACTAATTATTATTTTTACACCTAAAGTAATGTTATTATTTTTAGTAAAGTAGACATCCACAAGGAAGTAAACAAAAAAGGATAAACAATTTTCACTACTGAAGATGTTACACAGAAGATTCCTCATGCTACTTAGTTTTGGTTTTGATCATAACCAAATAAGACAACTCAGCCAACCTCTTCTCCCCAAAAAAAATCAAACTCAAGAAATAAATTCAGTAAATAAGGGCAAAGATGTGCTTCCAGTATTAGGCCAAATCTCTTTAATGCATCAAAATGCTTGTACGTCTGAGACAGCTTTTAAGGGCACAGCAAAAAACAAAACCACAATTTGGCCTCATAACACTCTCTGTAATGTACAAAGTAACCAACTTACAAAGGTTATTACAAAAAAATAATAAACACAGAAAGGCAGAAAAGATACTAAAACATAAAAACTAGACAACATACCTGGCAACATGAGAAAAGGCATCCACAAGGACAGATTCAAATTCTCTAGTGAATTCAGGTCCTTTCCTTTTACTGTTTTGGATCACATCATTTGCTAAGTACAGAAAAGTAAGCTTTCTATTTGATTTGGCTGAAAAAAAGAAAATAGGATAATTTAATTTACATCAAAGATATTCTTAATTTGCAATTCTTTATCCCTAATCTATTCCTAAAGAACATTAATACAAATATTATCTACTGAGGTCAAGCTTTATTTCTATTATATTAACCACAGTAATTAAAATAAAATCCAGGGCTGGAGAGATGGCTCAGTGGTCTAAAGCACCTACTTGGAACAAGCTTGATAAAGCACAGGGACCGCGGTTCGATCCCCCAGCACC